ACCGGGTGAAGCGAACGGCTGCAGTAAGAAAAAGTTGCCAATGAACAAATATAGGTATACTTTCAGGCCAGACATTTCGAATCAGTGCAACTGATACGTGCAGTTGTCGATTTAAGGGCAGAACATTGCATGCGAGGCTCCAGTCAAGTGAAAGCAATAGGGAAGGATGGGAGGATCGAGGAAGGGGGGAAGCTACTGTTCATACGAATCCCCAAAGGAAGCAAGCTGAAACCGGTATAAAATATGATTTATTCACACACGACGCAATTATTCGCCTGATTGATCAGTACCGACGTTTCTGCCAGTTTCAGAGTTTTTTTTCAAAATGAAAAACTGGTTGAGTTTCAAGTGTTTATCTTGTTGTCCACAGCAGTTTCTGTGTTCGGAGTCAGAAGGAAGGGTGGCAAATGCTGTTCTTAAGCTGGTCACCGTTTGGTGAGTCAGTCTAGAAGTCATTTTCTCACGGTTGAGAAATCATTGGTTCCAGCCCTTATCAGATCGTTTGTCTTTCATTATTCTGAGGTAAATAAATGATTATCACTTTTTGGGTCGGGATCAGAAAAAATGTATGATAATAACCATCTGGTTGTATGGTTGTATATATGGAGTGGATTTGAGATAAAGCAACAAAGTTTTACTCGCTGATCAACAAGCAGTGAAGATAGCAACGCACCATAGGCTCTGTGAGAGGAATGCTAACGATGGTGCCAGCGCATGAATTTGTAAAAATCTGAAATATAACCTGTTATACTCCTCCCATTTCAAGAAAATATGGTAATGCACGAGTTGAATGGACGGAGGATAAAATTATGCTTGAATTATTTCATAAAATCTAATGGAAGTAAGTTTTTTCGCGTTACATGGATGTTCAGCACAGGAGATCTGATGAAACAGCGTTGCCAGAAGTTTCGCAACAGATCTGCACATCCTTGCATCAAAGAAATAGAACGACCTTTGGTGTGATTTCTGGGGCGTGGAATAGTGCCTACGATATCTGTTTCGAACTCCGAAGATGTGGGGTTGAATTCCTCTCCAGAGGGAACTTCGTAATATTCTTGAATTTATTACATGCTGCTTCATGCCGGAAAACTTCGCACTCAAAACCGAAAAGACTCGGGTTCACATCTCGGTCAGATTCACTCGCTTTAATTACTTCCGGATTATACACGAGTGCCAATTTGTGTGATTGAAAAACCAGACTACACACTGCACTTGCCATGTGGCTGCCGTATATATGCTTATATACATAGGTCTTTATAATAAGACACTCCTGGCTGGTTACATGGATTCTGGGATTAGCTCCCTATCATTAACTTTAGGAAAAAATTGATACCAAAAATAATCCCATCACGAAAGGTTGAAGACCACCCGTGCATTTAGATGTACAAAGTTTTCTTTCCTTTACGTCTTTACGATTTCAGTTCACATTGAATTTTAATGCTAGTCTATATTATCCTATCTTTCCAGTATTCTCAGAGATCGAGATGAACAGAAATAGCTGGTTTTTCACAAGTTCAAATGTGGGCGCTGACTGTGTAAAACTTTAGTGCTTTTGTACAGTGCTGTGAAAGGAAAATTTATGCTGAGGGAATTGACGTTCCTCAAGCGAATAAGTCTCTCTGTTTTTCTTCTTCCTGTCATTCGTGTCGTCATGTTTCTTACTGTGAATGACATTGGCTATGCCGGCAAGAAGAAGCCAAAAAGACTGTTAGTGAAAACAGAAAATTCTTGGCATATTAACCTTAAAGAAACGGTATATTTTTGGGCGCAGGGTTATTTGTGACGGTTACTCGTTGCATTGTAATGTAACGAACAGCTGCCATTGAGATTTCACGTCGGAACACAAAAATTGTGACAACAAAAAAGCACAATAAAACGAACAAACGACGCACTCGACATTGAGCCCATAACTGTGAAGTTGAGGAAAAACTGGA